AATTTTGAGCATGCATTTTGAGTTTCAGGTGATGGAATGAGAAGACTTGCCAGATACGCTTTTACAGTTTACGGCGCCGTCTTTCTTATACTTTCATACTGTACTTTTGATGTTAATACAAACCTGTATGCTAAACAACGATGTCACCCTACATGAAAACTAAAACTATTAGGATAGCCACAAAACCAAAACCAAAACCAAAACTAAAACTAAAATCAACCAAGATAAAATTCACCCCCACAATATTCAAAATATAAATCAACTCCAAATTTAATCGCAAACATCACAAAAACAATAACTACAACTAAATTAAGACATCTTTATTGGATGATCGGGAATCCCTTGGAGGAGGTAACCTACGGTTGCTAACGAAACTTCCCACGGTCTAAATGAAATTATGGAACTCATTAAGTTGAGTTTAGTAAATTTATTTGGACTACAAGAATCCAATCAAAAATAGTGGTGCCGAAATGAGGGAACCGTAGGATCCTAACCAGAGTCGCTTTAATTAACTTTAACATCCCTCATAAAATTTAAAGAACTTCAACCATAGGGCCACCTGATTTGCACCATAATTTAGAATCCTATAAAACTTAAATTCGTAGCGACAAGGAGCTTGAAGCTAGCATGGTGGGCAACATGACCATCTTCAACAGAAAAACCTGTCTTCCCAGCTAAACCAATCCTTCCTTAGAATTAAACAACCAAGCCAAATGATTTTGAGGTTGTCTTCTTATGCAACATCTTCTTATGCAACATAAATACATAAATCCTCACCTCATTTTTTGGCCTTCGTACAGCTCTGTTGTACAATATAAGCCCTAACTCGTCTTAAGATTTCGAGGTTGACGTTCTTCACAACCTAAATCCTCACATCTTCTAAGCTATTTGTATGATCATTTCATACAAATGTAAGCCCTAATCAAATAAAATTAGCAGGATGAAACACCTAAATATTTCTTCTCAAAATTGAAACCAAACCATAGGATAAACCGGGAAGAGACCGAGGTTTTCCTCTGAATCTATGACATCCCCTAGATCTTTCTCCTTTGGATTCCAAAAACAAAATGCTCCAAACTTGAGCCAATCTCATTTCACACCTCTCTGTCTGATCTTGTTGAACAGTCATATGTTTTTGAAGTCCTTAAAGATAATATTTCCTGATTTTTATCAAAATTTTTCTTAGGTGGCTTTGGCATTTAAGATGTAATTAACTATAGGAGCTTGCCCTTCTTGGAAAATTTTCCGAACCCAACTTAATATAAACCCTATTTAATTTTTCATATTAAATAGGGGAAGTTGTCGGCAAATAAAATGGTTTTACTGATCAAGCCTCATCCTTTAGTCTTGTGCTTATCCTTCGAGATAGATACAGAGTTTGAGGTATAGTGCTCTTCCATTATTACAGGATTTGAGGTATAACGCTCTTTCATTTAAACTATAAAAAGTATGGAGTCAGTTTGATTTCATATTTTTTTAGACATTAAAATGTCCTTCTGAAGCGGGTGACAGGTTTTGATTCTGGTGACCGACAGCTTCCAACGGGCAACTCCCCCAAACCAAAAAAAGTACCGACAGCTTCTGACAACTCCACTGGGGAGAAGTTTCTCTTTCCATTTAAATCAGGAAAGAAATATCTTCATATATCGGTAATGTGTCCATATCCCTGTTGGACCAAATTGCACTTCTTCCGTTGACATACTTTACCCATTTCTGTCTTGGGAAAGTACAGCCAACTCTTTGGACTTCAAGACTGCCTGTTCGATCACCTTTGAACAGAGGGGTTCTAGAGGCTATTAAGGACTCTTTAAATCTTCATGTGGGGTCAGGACCCCAATAGGTGTGTCAATGGACTAGTTCCACCTGGGCATTATGTGTTACTAAATGGATCCCGCATTGGGTCCTATACATTTCACATCTCCCTTCCAAGTCTGATTGGTTATATTGCAAATTAAATCAAATTGCGTTGTGCTGCGCACGCCTTAAAATTTATTAAATCTTTCTACTTTTAAATTATTTTTTTACTAAAAATTTTTAAAATCCCCACAAATTAAAATTTACCCAGTCTACAGACCAACCTCTATAAATTTTCAGTGCTTGCACTAAAGGTTACAAGGTTGCGGCCATATAACTAACCCCAAAACTTTCTATTTTAAAGCTGCTGCAATGGCCTACCCAACACTGACTTTTTCCTGCAACTTGCCAACAAGCCATGAAGCCCGCAACGTTGCTCCCACCATCAAGTTCGGAGCCGGATTTGAAGACCTTGAGGTTATCCTCGGGAAGGCTTCGTTTGTCGTGATGAAAGTCACCGCTCCAGAAGTTCAGAAGTTGTCTGCTGAGTTCAATCTGAACTGTCTTCAAGACTTTCCGTCTTATATTCCTGCAAGAAAGCCAAGACTACTACCGCTGTGGCACCTACCAAGCCTGCTGTCCCCACTGCTGCTAAGGGGAAAGAATGGAAAAAAGTAATGATCATTGAAGATTTGATTGAGGGATTAGCTGTCCCGCCATCAGTGTTCGAAATCGGGTCGGGTTCAAAGACAACACCATTAAGTCGAACCCAAAGGAGAAACCGTAGCACGAGAGTTTGGAGGGCGACTAAAGCCCAAACTCCTAAGGAAATACCTGTCGAGGAAAAGCCTCACTAAGACGAGTTAGAAATACTAGAAGCATATCCACTTCTGTGGGGAAGTAGATTCCATCCTTTGATGGATACCAACGGGTACAAAAGTATCCAGAAAATCACCGCTGCATTACCGTCACTTCATGGACAGGGTGTGGAGAGAAAGAAACATACTCCTATCACCCGAGTCAGTTCAGTTTTTCAGAGGCTAGCCGCCAAAGAAGGTTGTTCAGTGAGTGAACTACTTAAAAGAGTGAGACATGCAATATCACCTTGCATGAAGAAAGAAATATTAAAGGACGTCAAATCCGCTAAACGATCTCAAAAGTTAACTGAGACCTTGCCTACTCGTATTCCTGTCTGGTTTTGCTTGGGGAGCCATTATAAACAATTTCACACCACACGATTTATTTGTTCACACATATGTTTTGCTTGGGAAATACCTTAACTTTACTTTTAGAATCTAACAGAGCCATTATAAACAATTTCAAAATTTTTTGAAGAATTTAATATTTCAATAATTTTTGCTGCAATCAATGCTAACTTCAAGGATGACTGAAATTATGATGAAGAAGATTTTACTTTGTTCACAACTTCGAGTAGTTGTTCACATAATGTATAGGGAGTTCATGTGCCTTTTAATTTTCCAAGATATAATTTTGTCTCATATTTTTTTAAGAAATCATATATATTTTCACACCATATAGATTTATACATCCAAAAATATAGGCAATTGATGCATCACAAATAACTTCACTTGGAAAAAAACTAAATTTTTAATTCATTTCAAATAATATAACTTTCATATTCAAGTTCATGATAATCTAAGCTCCAAATTTAGCATGTTTATAGTCAAGAAAATGTATAAATGACACGAATTTAATGATAGTAAAATTAAATTGGTTCAATCAGAATCCAAATAAGCCAAAATCAAACCTTGAAATATAGTTAAGAACTTCAAAGCATTAATTTAATGGTCAAATGATCTTCAAATCTAATATGGTTATAATCAAACCGTGTATCTTGACAATTAAAACAAGCCTATGATCATTAAATTACAAGGTTATTAAGACAATTAAATGCTAAAAAATGATCTATGTTCAAACTAATTAATATAATATGTCTAATAAAATACTTTTTGGTTTTGACTAAATTTACTATATCTTCCTCTCAAAACTCTATAAAAAGAGCTTCTTGCTTCATATGAAGAGGGAGGAAGTCGGAAAAGAAGATAGATATTTAAAAAAAATCTAGAGCTCAACCCAACATCCAATGCGAACAACCATTAGCATCAGCTAACTGGTGTCATCCAATCATTATCATCATCTTCCACTATTTAAAACTCTACTATTCCATCTTCTCCAATCAAAGGGGAAGAACAAAATTTTGTAATTATTGTCATATGATAAATCATTTCATTTGTGTTAGACCTCATAATTTTTTCATTCTTGAATTTTTTACATAGAAAAAAGTATCTCTTGCATTCCATCATTTTGTTTGTGTGTGTGGGATCTTTCTGTGAAACTATGACGTAAAGCTAACACTTTTTCACTGTGAAATTTTTATCACAATGAGTATAATAAATACATCATTATATATTCCTATCATCTAACTCGTTGTGGAACATTGAAAATAAATTATATTATATTTAAGTATACTTATTAAACCATTTGATTTAAAAACGGTTATAAAAGGAGAAATTTACATAGAGAACATAGAATTTCTAATGTATTTACATATCTCATACTTAAAACTTTCGTATTTATAGGCATGATATTTTGATGCTTTCAATATATGACATTTTGATCTTTTAAACATAATTATTTATATCCGTATGTTTCAAACACCAAAATATCATATAAATATGGAAGTATGAAAATTTAAATGTGAGATATGTAAATAAAAAATTGTTGTTGTGTGCCCCCATAAATGTGGGGTGCACTAAAACAATTCAGCGTCTCAAGATAAGCCTCCTTCCTCCCAATATCCCTCCCAACTACAAAATCTCCAAACCATGTACCATTTGAAAAAACTTTTGAAAAAACTAGGGCTTTAGATTGCCTTCTGCTAGGTGCCACTCCGTCATCGATGCCCAGCAGTTTCAAGCTTCTCATGATCCTCTCCACCCCATTCTCCCTCCGTCCCTCAGCTGCTATCCACTTCGCCCGCCACTCCCGCCTGCCACTCGAGGCCCTTTCTTTCACGGCCGCCTCTCGTGGCCGCCTTCTCTGCGCGGTGCCCTCTTCAAAGTTTGGGTTTTCGATTAGAGCGGCAGGGCAAGTCCACACTCAGTCAGTTGCTAAAGAAGGGTGCAGCGAGGCGGTGTCTTCGTATGCTGGCTTCAAGGATTCGTATTCATGGCCTGAGTGGTCGAAGCTGGCAGACCATCTCTTAGCTAAGGGTTACTCGCAGCGTGAAGTTACTCCCGGTGATCAAGATGATTTCGCGTTGACGGGTAATGATTTACCTGAAGAGTTTTTGAGGCCTGCCGAGGCTTGCTTAGATTTTGCGAGGGAACGACCTGATATATTGAGGTGACATAATCCTTTTGTTCTTCTTGCTGTTTTATGGTTACGGTGTATACGTTTTATCCCTGCTTATAAAAAGATATATTGTTCTGTTTGAATTCTCTCAAATTCTTCACCTGTTGATGTTTGCAGGCTTCTTACCAAAAATCATATAAAGGAAGTTATAGAGAATGGCTCTCCATTTTTGTTCAAGAACGGTGACAAGTCAGTCAACCGCATGAGGTTGTTCTTGAGTGGCGATGCAAGTACCGTAAGTATACAGTTGTACAGAGGACTAGTTAGATACTTATTAGAATTCCAACGGTTCCGGTAACTGTGTTTATGCAACATAAATTGTTTGAGCATAGTTATGGATGCCGACTATGTGAGTAATCATGGCTGTTATTTTTCTCTCATTTGCTTGTTAGATTATGAATAGGATTTTTGGTCATTCAAGTTCGGTCAGAATATTCAACTTATTCAACTTTCATTAAATTGTTTTGCTTGGGCCAAACTGTATATGTCTCATACTCTTAGGATATGCAAATTGCAGCTTGTGATACATTTCATATGTGATTTCATTTTTTGTTAAATAAAAGAGCATTCAATATCACATATTTCTTAAGGTAAATTATATTCACGGACTAAACATTGTTCTCTTATATCTTGTTTATTCTTTGACTACTTCATGCATGTTGTACTTTGTATGACTTGTCAAGAAGTCTGGGTGTTATCGTGAAAAGTTGTGCCATATTTTAACCCGATTGTGGTGTAAAATGTGCAAGAGTAGGCTAGGGCATTACTTTTAAGTGACACATCGTAAATTAACCAGATTATGGCTAAAAGTAAGTAATGGTTTAGTAGGTATAAATCTAAGAATGGATTTATTATATGGATTTATGGATTTTGAAGGTTATGGGAAAAAAATGATGGATACAATGATTAGAAGAATTATAATATAGTTTTGTTACAAGAAACTAAATGGCAATGAGAAAATTCAAAAACATTAGAGAATGTCATAAGGTATAGTATGTAGGAAATGTTACCAATAGTAGGATGTTAGTAGATAGAGAGTTGAAAGATGAAATTTTTGAGGTGAATATGGAGTGATAGGATGATTTCTATTTAAACAAGTATCAATGATGTCATTATGAATGTGGTTTGTGTTTTTGTTGCTTAATTATTATTAGAAAATAGTTAAATAAATACTGATGCGGGGCTCATGGAGGGGGGTCGAGCGGGCGCAAGTCTGGCCTAGCTGGACCGGTCGGTCCCCTTCAAGGTGGGCCCCACCGCCCCTATTACTTCTTTTCCTTTTCTTTTTCTTTCTTCCTTAATTGCCTTCCTAAACCTTTCCTAATTCTATAATCTTTCCTAAAACAATAAATTGATTTTAGGGTCTGTTTGGGGCAACTGTAACTTATCCAGCTTCTGCTGATAAGCAGCTTATCCTGATAATATGTTGATGAGCAGCTGATCCGAATAAACTGGCCGGCTGTTTGGTTTGTATTTGGAAAACAATTTATTCTGGATAAATGACCACTCTGCCCATGTTCTGGTTAGGTGGTCGGCCTATTACCCAACTCGAATTCTCTCACACAGAGATCACAAAATGTCAGAGTGGTCTCTTTATCCCACATGACCGATTCAAATTCTTTAGATTTACTCATTTTAACTGTGAGAGAAACGAGCTAGCATGAAATTAATGATATGCAAGAGAAAAACCGTATATAGAATAAAACTTTAATTTAGCTTTCAAAGTTGTGTAATTCTCTAAACTGAGCAAAATAAATACGCATAAACAAAATTTGCAAAAAAATTTAACTATTTGGGTATGGTCTTGATTGAACTCTAATTTAAAATATATTCCCATATTCAAAATTACATATTTACCAATTTCCAAATGAGATTTGAACACAAATGTGGACATGGAAAGCATACTAAAATGACACAATAGCAGAAATGAACTAGTGATTCATGTCGTTCTCTAATGTGATCCATGCCGGTATGAAGAGAGCATATAGTTCTTGACATATGAGAGTCAAATAGATCTTGCATAATTACATACTACATACAGGGTTGGCAAAGACTACATATAGATCTTGCATATGTTTCTCTAAAGTAAGTATATAGATCTTGCATATGTTTCTCTAAAGTAAGCATATAGATTATAGATCTTGCATATAGCCAAATAATCATTCTCGATGATTCACAAAAGTTTGTAATGCGTTAAAATCCGAGATCAAGCATACGAAATACAATCCCACATTTCCAGAAAGATAACAGAGGGAGATAGAGAGGGAGAACCATTGCAAATAGTGAAATCACAATCTCGAAACTTCATATATTTTAGAAAAAAAGTGGATCTACATTTTCACTATAAATACTCATCTTTCAACAATTGGATCTAAGTTTTTAACCACAAAACAACCCACATTCACCAAAAATTACAACAGAAGGATCATCAGATTTCTCGTCGAGTTAGGGAGAGGATGGAGGAGAGGAGGGAGGAGGAGATGAGAAGAGGGAGGAGCGGAGCGAGGAGAACATTGGATCTACATTTTTGTCCAATGTCACTCGTTAGCCACCAAACACTTCCAGATTCACCACAAAGAACACATGGATCGTTCAAAATCAAGAAGCCTTTTGGCGAAATGGGGGAGAGGAGAGAGCAGAGCGAGGGGAAGAGAATCCTTACCTACGGAGGGACTTCAGAGGGAGGATCGACACCAAGAGTTCGAAGAAAGGTTAGGGATCAGTCTTTTTGTGAGGTTAGCTCCGTAAATGCTTTGAGCCCGAACGCGGATCGTGGGGATATACTCGCGGTCCACGTGTAATACAAAATAGAGAACACTGTTTTCTGAAACGCTACTAAAATGCGAGAAACAAACGTTAAGGCGGCGTTTTCAAAACGCCACCACACTTTTAAGCTGCCCCAAACGGGCCCTCATTCTTCTTCTAATTTTAAAAACCTTTGCATTAAATCTGAAATTTGATTTTATTTCCCTTCCTATTTTGAAAATCTTGTCTAAATTCTGAAATATGATTTTATTCCTTTCCTATTTTAATGTTTCCTAAATTTAAGTCAAGTTTATTATAAATAGGAGTTCTTGTGTCTAGGATAAGGGGTTGTTTTATGAAATTTGAATTCAGCTTTGTCTGAGTATTTTTCCTCTTGAGGGCTTTATCCTACGTCAAGACAGTGCTCCGGCTATCCCATGTCTAAGGTGGTGATCATCTCCACAGGTCTGGGTGGTGCTCCGACACCTCGCCGAGATATTTCTCTCTGTGTTCATCCTCCTGGCTGCTGTCCTACTTCTTCCACAACAGCCCCATCTCTCCGGCCTTCACCTCAGCCTCCAATCCAGCCTTCGTTGACATTCCTGCACCTCTCCAGTTGTGGTTCGACGTCGTTATCGTCGTCACGCTTGCTGCCACCTCTCAGAACAACAAGGATCTACTGTTTTCTGCAGTTCCAGCCGCCCTTCATCGCCTTATCCTCCCTCGTCCTCACTGCCTTCACTATCCTAGCCCTTCACCTTTGCTGTTGCAGCATGCAACGCCTTCACTTTGGTTTTTTCTTGCTGTCCAGCAGCCCCAAACAACAACCAGCTGCTGTTTTGAGTGCCACAACAAGCTGTCTTGCTATTGCATAGGCTGCCTGTCGCTCCTGCCACCTATTGTGGCCGCAACCCTCTTTCCTCAGCCACCAACCACCGTCCAGCAACCTCCGTCCTCGTCATCTCCCACGGATGTCTTTTATTGTTTATGTTGTCATGTTTTTTTGTTTTCTATTTCCTATTTTATCGTGTCGTATTTGTATTATATTTGAAATTCAAAAATAATATTTGTGTTTACGTTGTCGTTTGGGATAACTTCGGTATCATTAAGTATCAGAGCTAGCCCAACCCAAATTTCATCATGTTGTTTCCTAGCATTCGACCAACCCTAACCCTAACCCTAACCCTAACCCTAACCTTAACCCCACCGAAAATTTTTCTTTCTTATTCCTAAACCTTAGTCATGCCACTAATGAGATGCATGTCTGAGCCTACTCGGGAGGAGATATGATGAGAGATTCGCCGACTTCAATGATGGATTATGGATATTGAGGACGAAATTTAATGAAAGGTTACTCTTGATTGTGATCGGGAGAGTCGAAGAGGGAAACAAGAAGATATGAAGATGAAGCGGGAACACAACGCCAATTTCTACCAACTTACTACTGCCAAAAGTTGCAAACTCTAGCTTCCGAAGTAGAGAGGCCACAACACCAAGTGACCCTCCTTGCTACTATCCAGCAAAACCAATTCGCAAGTCCGTCACAGCTAGAAAATGCTGCAAGTGCTATGGATTTAGCCATTTGGAAGCAGAATACACAATTAAGGGAGTGATCTACTTCACCGGGTAGGATGTCATGAAAAAGTTTGGAAAAGACACCGCAGACACTGAAGGCGATGAAGACATTAGCGAGTACCAACTGCCAGTTGAAAAGATGAACAGTGATCAAGAAGAAGATACATACTTTAGAGAAGATTCCCAATTTTCTACCAACGAGGTGCCACTAAATCTAGCTGACCCGAGATAGAGATTCTAGCTGAGATAACAGACGCTACTCTAGAAGGTAGCGACTCTTAAGTAATAGGGGTAGCCCAGCGGTGCATTATATTATTGTGCCTCGAGCTAGCATCTTGCAGATGGTGGGAGGAACATTAGTAGGAATTATCTTGGATGTCTACAAAGATTATGAGTTTGAAGAGTCGACATCAGATATAGGTCCACCCCGAATAAGCGAGGTGCAAATTTTTTAAATGTAGAGACCCCCTCTGGAGTTGTCTCGAAGGAGGGAGGTCCAACATGTCAGAAATGAGTCCATTGTATTTCATGTCGAGAACATTACATGAAGTTATTCAGATGTTACTTTTAGGTCAGCATGGGACAACTTGTCAGATGTCCAGAAGGAAGAGATTAACCCCAACTTTGTAGTGGCCCCAAGGAGTTTGATGGGGGACAAAAATTCTGCAATGGGTTACAGGTCCTATCTGTAGGAAAGAGATCTCTCCTAAGGAGGAGCTAATGAGAGTGACATAGTCTGCCACAGATTTCAACCTATAGTGGATTTCTCCTCACATACTAGCTTATCAGTTGCATCCTTTGAGGATTGGAAGAAGCAGGTTACAACTGGGATGACTTGATACCTGATTAATGAGGATACTCGCCTACCTACTATTCCAGCTAGGTCGTGCCAAAGGTGTACGGATATATCTTCTA